GCATCAGTCACAGTTTTCCTTGACTGCAGGAAAAATTGAGCATTGTAAATCTGACCACATAGTTCCAATAAACTTTAATTGAAAAATAGAACTCTGACTTTCTTCAGGTTTTACCAGCCACCCCTACTAGCAAAGAAGTGATAACATCCTAACTGGGGCTATTGAGACTGAGGCTTCTAACTTGCCTAGCAAAAACATCATCTATATAGAGAAAGACTTGGACATCAGAAGCTAGGAGCCAATCAACCAACCAGTTGTGTTCGAGTGGATTCTGACTCATGGCGACTCTATGTATGTCAGAGTAGAACTATGCTCCATAGAGTTTTCATGGCTGTGACCTTTCAGAAGCAGATCCCCAGGCCTTTCTTCCAGGCAGCTCTGAGTCTGTTTGAACCTCCAACCTTTCAGTTTGTAGTCAAGTGCTTAACTCTTTGAACCATCCAGGGACTCATGAGTGTAGGGGCCCTCATGCTAAATTCTGACCCATCCACTGGCAGCAAATGGCAGTCAGGTTTGTCTCACTAACTCTCTTCTTCCTGTACCTTACAATTGCACCCCACCAGACCAGCAGGAGTGCCTCCGAATGGCACAGGTCAGATTCTGAAAAATGAGGCAGTAAAAGCCAAGTTGATTAGACAAAGCTTTATTAAGAAACTTATATACAGAGAGCTGAGCAGCAGAAATCTCGTAATGGACAGCACAACATCAAGGGTTACCCGGATAGAGCTGTGTGAATAATAGTGGGGAGTGGGTGTTTTTATACCACACCATCCAATGCTAACATGTATTAAGTCTACGTGCAGCTGAGTCTAAACAATGATTAATGGAATTGTTTTAGTACTAGTTAATGGGTTTCTATTGATGTTTTAATAGGGCACAGGTGCCTCCTTGGGCTGTGGTGATCATATCCAGGGCCATCTGATTTTGTAACACCACTTCCTTCCACATGGCTGCTGTTTCTTCATTTAAGGCAGCCAGTCATGTTCATTGCTGTTCAAGGCCAAGGGGAAAAATTTCTGCAAAATCTCAGTCATAATATGAATATTTTCAATCAGCGGGAGGGCAGAGAAGAAAAGGCCAATTAATCTTTTAGTGGAAAGAAAGAAGCTTATTAGGTACATAAGTAGGACACTCATACTTTTCTATTAAAATGTAACTAGTATTATTTCCTCTGTTTGTTACTACTTCTGTAGCTTGCATCGCTTTCCCTTGGCTTTGTGTACCAAACATTGTGCCCAGGAGTTCTTGTTTGGCAGTGTTAATTACCTAAGGAGGGGAAAGATCCGTATCATTGTTGTGGCCAGTGTCCCCCATGCTATAGGTTGATGTCCATGCCATTGTCATCTGCCTTCTTCCAGTGTCATTCCATTGAGAAACAAGGAGCTGAAGGTCAGGGCGGGGGAATCCTCCTGCCTTATCAGCAGCAGGAGTCCTACACATTCCCTCCGGACCTGTCATTTGATGCCACAGCTGATTGTCCCCTGTGCAGGGGTGATGCTTACTGGTGTCGAGAGTGACAGTACATGTCCATGGCGTCTAACTCAGGCATGAGCGCTTCTGCTGCTGTCTTTTGTATCCTTATACTTGACCTGTGGGCAGCTCACTATCTAACTGCTAAAATGAGGACCTCCCTCCCACAGTGGGAGCTTCATTTAATGCTCTTATAGACTTAGGAAAAACAACCAGCAAGTGGCACAAGTTTGGCAAATCAGTCAGTGTTTTTATTTGTTCTTCAAAGAGGCCAGTTTTCCTTTCAATTAATCCTGCCCCCTGAGGGGTATAAGGTAGGTGAAAGTGCCAGTTTAGACCTTGTTTCTTGGCTCTTTGCCGCACAAGGGCCCCTGTAAAGTGAGAACTCTGATCACTGTTAATTTCTTTAGGAGTGCTGTACATGGATATTAGTTTCCCAGCCAGAAATGGTGGCAGTAGGATTGGGTTTTATAGTACGGAAAGCTTGGTGTAATCCACTGTAGGTATCCACACAAGTGAGAGCAAATTGATATCACTTACTTTAGGGAGAGGGCCTATATAATCAATTTGCTAAATCTGTAAGAGACCCTTTTAATGTGCCATGTCTTTTACTTAAGTGGAGCACAGAGTTTGGAGCAACATACTGGATGCAAAGCCCCACCTTTCTTATGTATCCACATAGCTATATCTAGATTATCAGTAGGGACAGTGGCCTTCACATTGCTGCTAGGCAGCTGCTTCTATGTTGCCCATTGGGGAATTCTCAGGTATGCTGTGACGTGATATACAGTTTCTTGAGATCCAGATCATGCAGTTTGTTCCTGATATCTTGCCATAGTTCTTGCCCCCACAGAAGTCTTCGATTAATTTCTCCAACACCTCTTCTCATTGACATATCCACAGAGTGAGGCCTTTTATTACTGCCCAAGAGTCAGTAAAAATAGTTAAGGGATGGGGCTCTTGGGTGATTCTATCCAGGCTGCCCTTAATATGGCCCATTGACTATTGCACGCAGTACCTGTTTCCATCCAGGTGGAGTCAGTAGCAGGCCTGCTAGCAACAGCTCACCATTCAGGGGGCCAGCCTGCACTAGAACCACCTGTGTAGCAGATCTCCTCTGGGGGTGTGCCTGCCCCCTTCTTGACATGCCTGTTTAATTGTTGCCTCCCAGCTGCAGTCTTTTTTAGGTACCGTCTGATTTTTTTACACTTTTTAAAATTGTGATAAGTTTATATATGTAACAAACATTTGCCATTTCAACATATGTACCACTCAGTGACATTAATTATGATAATCAAGTTGTTAAACACTAGCCACTGTTTCTAAATTCTTTCATCATCCTTAGCAGAAGCTCAGTTCCCCCAAGTAATGACTCTCTCTTTTCCCTTCCCTCATACCCCTGGTAACCATGAATAACCTTTGGTCTTTACATATGTACCTATTCTAGACATTTCATATAAGTGGAATCATACAATATTTGTGACTGACTTATTTTACTCACCATATTTTTTTAAATTCAGTGCACACATCTTATGTTTTTCTTTCTTTCATGTCCTGCATTTTATTTTTCCAGTGTTTACCTGAGAATAGTTTTAATGCCGGCAGTCACTGGGTTATGAATGTCCAACTTAGGGACAACTTCTACTTAAGAAAGGACTTCCATAAAGCCTATCATATTAAAAACTTGAGTTAAATACAATGGTTCATAATAATGAACACATACAGTACTTTGTGATACTCATGACAACATTGTGCGGTTTAGAAGTGTTTCTTGAGGGTTTTATATGCACAGAAAGGTTAAATATATAGTATATACTAAGGGAAACATTTGACTAACTGACGCTAAATAAGAACTGTATGTACCTGTTTAGACTTACCTACAAATTCAACTTAAAGACAGACTTAGGAACTGATCTTGTTTGTAACTTGGGGACTGCCTGTATACTAACCTATCTGCTGGGGCATGATTATATTTGAAATAGCTACTGTCATGGATTGAATTGTGTCCCCCCAAAAATGTGTGTAGCACCTTGGCTAGGTCATGATTCTCAGTATTGTATGATTGTGTTATCTGCTGTGATTTCCTTATGTGTTGTAAACTCTACCACTATGATGAGATTATATGTGATCTCTTGTGTTATAAATTCTATCACTCTGATGAGGTTATACTGATGAGGTTGACAAGATCAGTGTCTTAATGCAATCTCTTTTGAGATATAAAAGAGAGAAGCGAGCAGAGACACATAGGAACCTCATACCACCAAGAAAGCAGTGCCGGGAGCAGAGCGCGTCCTTTGGACCTGAGGTTCCTGCGCAGAGATGCTCCCAGACCAAAGGAAGATTGATGACATGGACCCTCCTCCAGAGCCGATGAAGAAAGCATTCCCCTGGTGCTGATGCCCTGAATTTGGACTTGTAGCCTACTGGACTATGAGAGAATAAATTTCTCTTTGTTAAAACCATCCTCTTGTGGTATTCCTGCTGGAGCAGCACCAGATGACTGAGACAGCTACTGTTTCTCTTAGGATGTAAGGTACAAAATTCAGAACCTGGCCTCCAATTCATTCAATAACATTTATCTAATTTTTCCTTTAATTTATACAGGTCACTTACTTACAATATTATAATATAGGACTATACCCCCCCCCCCCGGATACCAGTTTCCCAAAGATCCATCCCAGGTGATACTCCTATTTTATGAAACTGACCTTAAATTTTCATGTCCAGTTAAATTTTTGGAAAATATTATAGTTTAGATTAAAAATACATACTCAAAGACAGTTCTAGTAATTCCACATGATTTCATCAGTCTTAGAGGAAGTGCAGCCAGAATGCTCCTTAGAAGAAAGGATGGGCAGACTTGGTCTCACTTTCATTGGATACATCATCAGGAGGGACCAATCGATGAAGAAGGATTTCATGCTTGGTAAGGTAGTGGGTCAGCGAAAAAGAGGGAGACCCTCAATGAGATGGATTGACATAGTGACTAAAACAGTGGGCTCAAACATACCAATAATTGTGAGCATGGTGTAGGACCAGGCAGCTTCTCATTCTGTTATACATAAGGTCATTATGAATTGAGGCTGACTCGACAGCAACTAACAAGAACAACGACCACATTATTTCGGGACTGTTTTATTATTGCACAGAATGTAAATGTCTCCATTGCAACCATTAATAAAATACAACTCTATAAGTACTTACATAACACTGACATCGGATTTCAGTTACTACTGCTACTATTATTTAACTATTTATCATTGAGGCATAATCTTAGTCTGCCTAGGTCACCACTCTCTCTGCAATGACTGGCCTGTAATTGTTCTTAAGATTCTGTGGGTGATGAGTTCATCAATGACCGAACATGGTGCAAAATGTAGGGATTATATTTTTCGTATGAAAGATGGAAATTGTATATTCCTTCCACAGCAGACACAGCAAAGTCTCAGTACACAGGGGTCACTGCTCATGAGAACAAAGGGGCTGACTGTCGGGAAACACGAAGTGATTAATGCAGACGTGTTCACCAGTCACCAACTAGGATTATTAAAGAGAACTAAATAAGCATAAATAATGGAGGAGAGGGCATAAAATGATACAAAGGTGCTCACCAGGACAAGGATGGTTTGATTTGCTCTGGTCTCAGCAGAGGATCTGGGGGAAATGTTGTTCCTATGAATGTGTTGGACCTGCTTCTTGTGTCTGTACAGGATGAAAACCATGGAACCACTGGCCCAGGACATGAATCCCAAACATAAAACATCATGGGAGGATATCAAGGCTGCATAGAGTGAGAATGTGATGCTGTAATTTTGTACAGTAGAGAAGTATTCCAACACATTTTTCTTTATGATAGAATTGTTGCTCCATTTGTCAGATGCATGAACAGGAAAAATGGTGTTGACCAGCATGTGTAGTATCCAGCAGAGGATATTGGAGGGACCAATGTACTTTAGGGCTTTTAGTTTAATCTCTGCCCATCTGGAGTGTATGGGGCTGATGGTGATGGTCTGGAAGACACTCAAGAGGCAGGTGGTGCAAATGGACATACCCCTGGCCACCCTTTGAAGATATAAAACAAGCTTACATCCAGAATCATTGAGGAAATGTTTTAACCCAAAAGCAAGCAATGTCTGGGGGACTCCTATAGAGAGAATGGCCAAGGAATTGGCTACAGTCAGGTGCTTGAGAATTGAGTCTGTAGACCGTGACCTGCATCCACGGAAGTGAGGCAAGATGTAATGAATTATGAGCAAGAAATTCCCCAGGATTCCAACGACTATCTGGAATAGGAGAATCATTGCTATTTTCAAATCCCTGGAGGTTATTCTGTCATTTTCCAGGGCTTGAGATTCACATTCACAGACAGAGGGTTATGCATAGAAACATGAGTGGTGGCCTAAATTTTTCATGAAAAAATAAAATAGAAAATTTTCTACTTAACATTACTTCACTCTGAGAATTAATTTCTAAAAGTATTTTCTTTTGTTGAGAGATTCCCAATATTTTCTGTTTCTTTTTGTATCACTCACAAAGTTTTGGTCAATGTTTTGGATGCTTCACCTGTAGTAAATTATTTAATATTCACAACTCTATATGACTTTGAAGCTAATATTATTCTTCTTTGTCAGACAAAGAGAATTTAGCCACAGGGAGGTTAAGGGACTCATAGAAACAGACATAGAGTCAGCATTTGAATCTGGATAACCTGGTTGCTAGAGCCCGGGTGGCCCAGTGGTTAACAGCCCTCCTGCTAACCAAAAGCAGCAGTTCAAATCCACCAGCGGCTCCTTGGAAACCATATGGGGCAGTTCTACTCTGTCTTATAGGGCAGCTATGAGTCTGAATTGACTTGACAGCAATGGGTAACCTGGTTGCAATGACACTGGTTTTACTACTGTGCTATTCTATCACAGCTATCTTGTTGTGTAGTTCAAATAATCCAAATACCTGTCATATTTTAAATATATTTTGTGAGTTTAGTTGTGATAATTTCCCATTTTGTCTAGGTATTCCATAGACCAATAGCACTTAAAAATCAATTTAGAGGTCTTAGTAAATTATAGATGTCCTGACTAATTTTCCATGACTGAACTGGATTTATTCAATAAATATTAACATGATTACAGAATCGTTCAGTTTTTTTTTTTTTTGGCCAGGAATTAAAGTACAATTACTCCCAAAACAGATATTATTGTATAAAACTATGCTGTGGTCCAAATTATAGGACATGAACATAAATAAGCAATAAAGTATTTTTTGGATAAAAACTAATCCTCATGAAAGAAGGTGTATCCCCACATATTTGTTGTTTTTGAAAATTGAACAGAAACTATAATTAATTTTTGTTTTGGAAACGATCAAGACATAAGACAAATACGCAAAATTACTGAAAAATAATTCTATTTTTACCAATTGCCACCAGATACACAGTTTCTGATGAGAATTAGATAATTCAATTAGCTCCATCATACCCATCGCTACATTGCAGAGTGTTTACAGAAAAAACTGTAGTACTCCAGAATATTTCTTTGTGATTTTCACACACCATATTGAATGGCAGACTAAATTTAACATTATAACATTGAAGCACCATAAATTTGAGGTTTTTGATACCATTTGAATCAAATACCAAGAACCATCTTTCTTGAGGATTTAATGAAACTTCCTTAGGAGCAGCCAGGGATTGGTGTCACATCTCCAAAAGCTAATTCATGCGTCAGGAATTGTCATCCTTCCTGTGACACTAGCACTGGACCAGTCTCTACCCAGAGAAATCCCTTTTCTAGACATTATCACTCACGCTGTTCCTGATCCTCCTCTTTTCCTTCATGAACCTGCTTTCCAGGCTGAAATAGAAAATACCCACCTGACTTCTACCTACTGCCAGGAGAATGGGCTCAGTGATGGTCACAACAGCCAAAACAGGTGTGAAAGAGAGACAGACAGACCCTGATATACGGATTAGATTCTGTGACCTCACCTCCCCAAGAACTGCAATTATCACCTCACCTGTAGCAGCCATGACCGTCCACTGCTGGGGAGATGAAAAGACTTCTGAAATACTTTATCCCCTTTTTAATTTCCGGAACTCAAGTGTCTGGTGACCATCACCAAAGAGATCATTGGAGCATCTTGGAAAGCTGATGAATAAGAAACATCATCTGACTGATATGCATACACACTGACGTACACACAATTTATATACATACAAATGTATGCATGTCTGTGTGCCACAGCTCTCTTGTAATATGACTGCTTTATATGTGCTTGGATTCCTGTGAAGAATAAACAAACACTGAACTTTGTGCAAAAGCATACAATTGACCTATTTCTGGTAAGATTAGGGGTTTTCTGTTACTTATTCAGGCAAAGCATAACACCGGGACAGTGGAGTCAGTGCTTATAAGAAAAAAGGCCTGTTGAAAATATGTGTTGAATAGTGCCCAGATGTTTACCAGCCATCCGGGAACCACACAAATCTGGGAGCTTTCACCCTAAGTGTTGCCCACCTGGCATTCTGGGGGCTGATGGTGATGGCCTGGAAGACTCTCCAGAGGCAGGCGCTGCCAGTGGACACTCCCCTGCCCGCTCTGACGAGATAGAAAAGAAGTTTACAACCAAAATCATTGATCAAATCTTCTACCCAAACGCTGCCATGATCCCTGTGATTCCTCCTGAGAGAATGACCAAGGTGTTGGCTACAGCCAGGTGCTTGAGAATCAAGTCTGTAGACTTTAACCTACGTTTAGTGAAGTAAAGGAAGATATATTGGAAAAGAAGAGAAAAATTCTCTAGGATACCAACTGTGTTCTGTAATAATAAAGTCATTCTTATTGTCAAATCCCTGGAGGACATTCTCTCAGTTCCCAGTGACTAATATTTGTCTGCAGCGCCAGAGGGTCCTGCATGGGAAGATGAGACATGGGCCACATGTATCATGTCAACTGAAATCCACTGCGCTCCGCCTACCCTTAATTCCGACTTAGAAATATTGACTTAGTTTTTCTTTCATTAAGAGGTTTCCAGGAGTTGGATGTATAACCTTTAAAGAGTACTTGTTATGTAAGAATCACTGCTATGAAGACTGTGCATGTGGTAACTTCTTTATTCTTCACAAATCTCCAAGGCAGGCACTACTATTATTTTCATTATAAAGAGAAGGAGAATTTAGGCACAGAGAGGTTAAGAGATTTGTCTAAATTCATGTGCTGGTTAGGGGCAGAGTGGGGACTTGAACCTGGCTAAGCTGGTTACAAAGACAGTGCATTTAACCACCATGCTCTACTAACCAAGCTAGTTAGCTGTGTTCTTCCAATAATCCAGATCTGTCCAGATCTGTCACCGTATCATTTTATTTTACATTGGTGATATTTTATTTTTAATGTTGATTATGACGAGTTTCCATTGATAAAAATTTATTCCATAGGCTAATATCAATTATGGATAATGATTTAAAGATCTTAACAAAATACAGATTTACTGATTGCAGTAGAATACTCTAGGAACCTGGCTCATGACCAGGTTGAATTTCATGAATGCATGATAGGCTCGATACTAGAATGGCAACAGAATGACACATTTGCTTCTATGCCAGGAACAAAATACACTGGCACCTACCACAGGAATTGTTGAACAACTCATATCATTCCCTAAACTATGGGGCATGAAACACTAATATGTGATAAACTAATGGACAGTGGAAACTCAGTCATTACTATTTTCACTTCATATACTCATCAATTAACTCATACATTAGTTAAGTAAAAGTATTAGCAATGAGGTGAGATTTGTGAAAGATAATAACATATAAGACACATATGGAAAGTGAAATCTATAAGGCATGACATCTAGTACATTTTATAAATGGAAATGATTTTTTAAAATTAATATTAGAATGTTTTTCAACCATAGAAAATAGCCTGATACACTTGAGCCTGGCAGCTGATGGGTGAAACCCATTATTACAAAGAGGCCTTGTCCTTAAGTAATGCTTCCCTAACTTCAGGAGGGAAAACAGGCTCAATAATCAACAGACCATGGATGTTTTCAGGAGACACAGTTAATGTCTTCATTAGTGCATCATACACCACAGTTAGAGAAAACACTTCTGTTAGAGCAACAGCCATTCAGATACACCATTTCTGCACAGGATTAGAGGATTCAATTAGATTCATCCTGATCTGAATTACAAATGTGGAAGTGATACAGGCACATCTCTAGTGATCCTGGAAATCTTATGATTTCTGTATAGTAGGCTGAAGAGCAGATTGATTTCACAACTACAGCCTTTGGAGCATCTTAAAAATCAGGTTTCATGATCACTAGAATTAAAAAAGCAAGCTGTGGTGCAGTGGTTTAGCAGTCGGATGCTAACCAAAAGGTAGTGGTTGGACCCACCAGCCACAGAGAAAGTGGTGGCATTTGACTTCTGTAAGGATTTATAGCCTTGGAAACCCTATGGGGCAGTTCTACTCTGTCCTGTAGGGTCACATGAGTTTCAGTTCAACTCGACAGCAATGGGTTTGGTTTTTGGTTTGGTTTGGAATAAAACCAAAAATCACAATTCTTGAGGATGCTACTAAATGACATTAGGAGCCATCAGGGATTGAGCTAGGGGCTGGGACCCATCTCTCTGTTCTAACTCAGCTCAAGCTCAGGACATAGTCCTCCTTCCTGTGGGCCCTGGACCAGTGTCTAACCCAGAAGTTTTCCTTATTCCAGTATGATGCCTTACCCAGACCCTGATATGCCTCTTCCCCTTACAGACTCTGCCTCTCAGACTGAAATAGGAAATACTCACCCAACAATTTCCTGTTTCCAATACAGTGGGCTCAGTGTGATGGTTGTGACATCTGGAACAAATGTCTGAGGGAGGCAGCCAGATCCTGAGGTCCAGGTTTTTATTCTGTGTTCTCTCCTCCCCGTAGAACTGAAGTTATCATTTCACTTCCAGTGGCATTGACAGCACAGGCTTGGGGAGCTGAGAACATCTCTGGAAAATGTTTCCCCAGTTGCTAATTACCTAAACCAATTACAAGTTTCCAGTTAGTATCTCCAAAGAGACCATGGGAGAGGCTCTTCCTTGTCCAGGATCCTGGAGACAGACAGGGCCTCCCTTGGAGGGAGCAGGAAATGCTGAGGCCTAACACATGGGGGACATGAGTCTCTCTGGATTCTCTGCTCCCCTGAGAAGTTCTCCTACCCTAAATCTTTTCTCATCTTCAGCCCATGAGCTGTACCATCATTTAAGCTGTGAACAGAGAAATGGAATCAGACAAAATACCTAAGAAGGATTTTTAAAGAGATACAAATAAAGAACATGATGCCAGTAATTTACATGAGAAATCACTGGACTCACTCACACAACTCAATGCCAATGAATAGGGACATTTTACAAGAAAATATGCTTTACCATTATTGACTCCTCCAGTAGTGATAGGAGGCCTAAACCAAATAATATCCTTGGAAAGAGGGGTTATGAGTACCTCAAAATAAAAGCTTCAGGATCGAATGGTTAAACAGGTAGTTTGTGTAATTATTTAATTATCAGGAAGTCCAGTGTCACTTAATTCAAATGATTAGCACAGTCCTGTACACTTTTTTTCATTGAATTGCCAGTGATGAACACTGATTGCTTTTTGTTGTTGTTAATTTTATTGTAGTGAAAATATACATAACAAAACATATACCATGTTAACAATGTCTACCTGTACAATTCAACAACATTGATTACATTCTTCAATTCAATTCTACAACATTCATAAGTTGTGCAACCGATCTCGCTATCCTTTTCCAGATCATTCCACCACTACCAGCATAATCTTAATGGCCCCTAAGCAAAAACTCCCCCTTTTCCCTCTGTCTCCCACTCCAGGTAACCAATAATAATCTTTGGTTTCTATATATTTACTTATTTCGTATCAGTGTGATCAGCAGTATTTGTCCTTTGTGACTGACTTATTTCACTCAGCATGATGTTTTCAAGGTTCATCCATGTGGCATGCATCAAGACTTCATTTCTCCTTATGGCTGAGTAGTAGTATTCCATTGTGTGTATTTACCACGTATTGTTTATCTATTCATCTGTTGATGGACACAAAGGCTTCTTAAGGCTGAGAGAGGAAGCAAAAAGGAGATGAACCCATGGTCTCTCCTGTACCTTCTGGTCTATCTGATACTACCGCCTATCCTGGCATAGCTGGATCCTCTACTCTTCTCTGGGCCTCTCTATTTCCACCTTCATCCTGTCAACCCACCTTAAATATACTTCGGAAAAATTAGTTATTCCAGGTATGTCATTCCACATATAACTCAAATATCAGCTGTGTCTATCTTTACCTCCTTAAAATCCTGGGTTCTGACCCCCCCTTAATTTCCAAGGCCTGGGAAGTTTTAAGTCTTCCAGGATTTAATTCTAATTCCCTGGGATTTATACTCTCAACACCCCATTTTACACAATTTAGACTGCCCTGAAAAATCTGTCTGTGCCTCATGTCAACTCAGTCATAGAACTCAGTCACCCTTTAGTTATCTCCCAAAATATCCAGTTTAAAAAATAAAAGAAGACTCAGTTAACCACGTGGACTTTATTAAAGATACCATAAGATGACACGGGAGAGATGGCAGGACATCCATGGATCATCACAAACTCTAGAGTAATGATTCTTCTCCCAAATCTCCTTCTAGGCTGCTCTGTCCATGAGGACTGTCAGCTCTCCTCTGCCACACACCCATGCAGGCAGTGCCCCACCCCACCAGTCACTCTCTGTTCTCTTCCAGGTCCCCTCCCTTCCCCAACATTTTACATTCTCTCCCATTTTTATACTGATCAATTTGCTCTCCAATTTATGCCCTACCTACACATCTAACCGATTGCTGTTAAGTCAATTCCAAATCCTAGTGACCCTGTAGGACAGAGTAGAACTGCCCCATCAGGTTTCCCAGACGGTAAATCTTTAAGGAAGCCGACTGCCACATCTTTCTCCTCCAGAGTGGCTGGTGGGTTCAAACTGGCAACCTTTCAGTTAGCAGCTGCGCCCTTGACCACTGTGCCACCAGGGCTCCTTTACACATCTAAACCCAATCTGATTTGGAGACTAGGTGAGCCTTTCCTTTAGCTCATATATATATATATGGAGCCTTGGTGATGCAGTGCTTAAGTGTTCGGCTGCTAACCAAAAGGTCAGCAGTTCAAATCCACCAGCTGCTCCTTGGAAACCCTATGGTGCAGTTCTACTCTGTCTTATAGGGTCACTATGAGTCGGAATTGACTGGACAGCAAAGGGTTTGGTGTTTTGTTTTAATCTTTATGGAAGGAGCCCTGATGACGAAGTGATTAAAGCACTCAGTTGCTAACCAAAAGGTTGGCAATTCCAACTCACCACTGCTCTTCAGGAGGAAGATGGGGCAGTCTGCTCCCACAAAGATTTACATCCTGTAAATCCTATAGGGCAGTTCTACTCTGTCCTATAGGGTCACTATGACTCAGAATTGACTGGACTGCTGTGGGTTTGGTTTGTTTTAGGAATCTTTACAGAAGTAGACTGCTATATCTTTTTCCCACAGAGCAACTGGTGGGTTCAAATCACTGACTTTTTTAGTTCCTTTCAATTAGCAGCGAGGTCTTAATCGCTGTACCACCAGTCTTCTTAAAGGAGTAAGGTATGTGGTATTTTAGGTCACAAAACTTTGCTTAAAAATAGCAATAACTTTTTTTTACCAATAACTTTAAAAAATAGGTATAAATTGCATTTGTGTTTTATGAATAATGAACTCAAACACCATTGAGCTAAATTTGGGTAACATCGTGTTTTGCTTAAATCTTTCATTTTTAAATATAATTACAAATTTACTTCACATTTATTCTGAGAGTAACTAGAAAGCATATTTTTTTACATTAAAAATTGTTATCTCTTTTACCTATTTTATTTATTTTTTGA